GGTTTCCCTGGTTTTAGCGAAGGTAAAATTTCAGCTTCTTTCCACGCTTTTGGAACGTTTCCTGTCTCCCACGATCTATTCAGAAGCTCTAAAAGTCTCATTAAGGAATTTGTATTAAGATGGGCTAGTGCCATATACGTTACACCATCAGTTCCTGGTGATGACTTCTTATTCGTTGATGCTAACGCTATTTTCAGCTCTGAGAGTGTTAAGGGTGTATCCAATCTCGAGTCTTCTAACACAACTAAGGTGTCATTCTGCGTGTTTTGGGCATTGCGGCGAAGGCATTGTTGCTTTTCTGTTATCATCTTACAAAACTCTTCAGCTACTTCTAACTCTGAGCATTTCTTTTTTAAAGACAATGCTCGAAAAGGATGTAATTGCTCTGGTGTTTTTCTCAGTCCCCGTACAACTTGATATACTTGTGATATGGGACTTCGAGGGTCTGATCTTTCACAGTAGCTCATCCATCTGCGTTTAGCCAACACGTTCAAATGACGCCTTACGTGACGCTGTGCTTTACGTGCCTCACGGAGGTCGTTGGTGCTGTGAGTTCGTCTTAGCCGTCGTTCCGCTCTTCTCCGTATTGCTCTTAAACTTTCATATTCCGCATCGAGTTCTGTTTTTCCAGCGGGCATACTAAACAATCTAGTAGATTTGTTTAAAGCAGCAGCAATAGTTAAACCGATAGTTTCATCCTCCGTTGCAGCTGTTATGGCATCTTCCGTAACAAACTGAAATGCTTCCCAGTTCGTTTTTCTTATTTTACTCCGCGATTTGCGTGCTCCGAAACCAGTTATAGATATCATAATCGGCAAATGATCGCTTCCCCATGTGTTGAGGGCTGGCTGCCAGGTGAATTTTTGTATAAAGTTTTTCGACACAATGGTCAAATCCAAACAACTGCTTACTCTTGTTCCCTTGAAAAACGTGGGTCTTCCATCATTGATGTTGACAAGGTCGAACTTAATGGCAACCTCAAGAAGTTCACGTCCCCTACGAGTGTTTTGTAGGCTACCCCAGAGTTCATAATGAACATTAAAATCCCCTAACAAGCAGCATGGCTTTGGTACTGCTAGAAAGATATTTTCTAACCTTTTAACATCAAATGTTACGTTGGGAGGTATGTAGGCAGAGATGAAAGTTATTGAGCTCGTTCCATTTCTGACAGTTGCAGATACATATTCGTTTTCGTCATGTGGGCAAATATCCTCTTTAGTAAGGTACGTTGTTGGGCTAGTTGGTTCATCTTAGTAAAACATATAAAATAGCGCAACAGAAACAAGGACAAGAAGTAAACAGGACAGGCGCCTGTCCTGTTTACTTCTTGTCCTTGTTTCTGTTGCGCTATTTTATATGTTTTACAAATATCCTCTTCCACGTAAGTTAAATCATTTCTGATGGCTAGTAAAGTTCTGCTGTTTCCAGAGTGCTTTTTTTAGTAAAATATTTGGTATCCTGAGATCCTGAAGCGGTCTCGAACGCCATGTTCTGATATAGCTAATACGGGACAAGAATTAGTTCTAAGGTATTGACGAATGTCTGATGCTTTTGACTGAAGGCCTCGTGCATTCCATTGTAAAACAGAAACAGTTGCTGATCAAAAGATATCGAAGAGTGTGGGAAATACCAAGTTAAGTATTTGTACGATGCCTTGCATTACTGGTGAAGTGAACTGACTAAGGAAGTTTGTGATAGCCTTGATTACTGTTCTAAATATCATTTTCCAATCAAATGCAGCTGAATCGTCTGGCTTTGAAGTTTCATTTTGCTCTTGGCTTTGAGACTTTCTTTCGGGCTTAGTGGGGGAAGGTTCTGTATGCGGGTTTGTAATTTTTTTGTATGTTGCCTTCAGGGCATCTACGTAGTTATACTTGCTTGTCTCAGTTGACGCGTTTTCACCATCCACTAGTACCGATGGCCCCGAGCGGTGTTGGGATTTCATATTGTTCACTGTTTCATCTGGTTGCGGTTTGAGAGTTTCTCTCTCTTTGCCGTAGTTACCTTTCGCAAGGTCTGCTTTTAGGGGCTCTTTTTGCTTGCTGTTCGCACTTGCTGTAGTAGCAAGGTTCTCACGTTGATATGGTACTTTTTGTGGGTGGTTTTGAGGCAGTAAATCGGTGTGGCGCACAGCTGCAGTTTTTACATTTTCAGGCCTGGAACCCGCTTCTTGGGCATCGCCAAACTTTTGTTTTGGGCATTTCGGAAAGAAAGCCTCATGTTCCCCACCGCAGTTAATGCAAAGTGGGGTTCTCGCGCTGCATTTGTCTGGTGTGTGATCCCCAGAGCATCGGGTGCAGGCCTATTTGCGCTTGCAAGCAGCAAGGACATGACCTAGCTTTCCACATTTTTTGCCTTGCGCGTGCCTGTGTACAAAGGCGTCTACTTTGTGCCTAACGCACCCGACAAGTACATGACTCGGTAGCACGGGAGAACCAAATGTTATACGCACAGTGTGTGACGTTCCCAGACGTCGTATTTGTGCAACTGTTGCGTTGCACTTGAGTTGCTCTCGAAGCTGTGGCATCGTGATGTCCGGGTCAATGTCATGAACGACTCCAACTGAAGTGTTCTTGTTTTGTGGCTCATATACGTAGACCGTTATTCCAAGAAGCTCTGTCAGTGTCAGTAGTGTTGACGTGGTGTGCAGATTTCGTGTATCCACTGCGATCAGGTTTAGTTTCTTGTTTATCTTGATCTCTAGGATGCAGGAAGGGGCGATGTTTTCGAAGAAAGATGTCAAGCGAATGCTGTTCATGTTTCCCAGCTGCTTTGAGGCATCTTGTGGTGTAAATATTACAGTATGTCCAATGCAGGTAAGAGCGGATGTGGACGAGATAACAGTGTTGTTACTCGAAGAATTCCTGCCTGGTCGTTGGCGTTTTCGGGACCCCACTGCGCTGAAGGACTTGTCACTTGAAATGATGGTAACTTCTTTTATGTCTTCTTCATGTTGCATGTCCGTGTCCTCTGACTCAGTGCCAGTTGGTCGTCCATTGATTGACAGTTGTTCCGTTAACAGGATCCCGGAGGCCTGGGTTGTAGGTTGATCTTTTTGGCCACATGTCGGGAGTTCTTGGTCGGTGGCATCTGAAAGCTCGTTACATGGGTTGGGATGGATTGGAATGTCCATGGCTTCCATCATGGGCTACGTTGCATGCTTATTGTATTCTCGAAGCACAGCGCCAGCGACCGACCCTGCCGGGAGGCCGGGACATGCAATATTTTTAAGTCGCGTTGCGGGATAATACGGTTGGCGCCGAGTATATTAAGCAACGCGAAAAAACTGGAAAGATAGCGAGAGCTTTCAAAGATCAGCCTCACCACAGCTCGTCGTCGTCGTCGTTTTCCCTGTGTCCGGGGAAGGGGGGGTTAGGGGAAGGAGCCGGGAGCCGCACTTTAACACGCGAAGAGCCCCATGCGGTTCGCAAGCCGCAGCTTGGCCACCATGGCTTAGAAGATCGCTTTGGACTGTATAGGCTTCTAATATCACGTGTCTACAAGGCAGATTTACTAAGGTGAAAACAAAATGCCGCTGAGGAGCAGCACGCTCTCGACGATCACTACAGCTAGCAAGGGTGGAAACTGGGACGATCTCCACAAGCGAGCGGATACTTGACGCCCTACCTCCAACGTGGTATACCTGCAATGTGGCCCTGGGCTATAACAAATAACCCACACCCTCCCGGCCCTGGGCTATGTGGACGGTCGTGCAGTGTACACCACCTTAAAAAACCAGAAGGGCGAAAAATGCAAGGCCGCATCGATAGCACAAAACAAGTTGGCTAAAGTTGGCTCGCAAAGGAAGACTATATGCTCTCGCAATGAAACTCATTATAGGAGGGCTTCTTTTTCCTGGTGTAAATGCCTAAAACACAACTATGTTGTTGTTCACCAATTGGTGATGCCCAGCCAGCGCCGAATTGCTACATATCTCGCCAACAAGGAGGCTTCCAACTTCGGCGCCTGTGGAAATGAACACACAAGTGAGCTCATTTTGAAACACGTGTTGTTGTCACAAGAAAACGCACAAGCGTTTTATTGTGACATTTTTGCAGCAAGACGAATGTTCGAATGAAGGCTCGTTCACACTCTTGCAACCGAGTACGACCGAAAGAGACAAGACCGGTTTTTAATCCTCTTGCGACTTCTTGGACCGGGCGTACTGCGGCGGAGCTGGTCCTAAGACGTCGTAAGAGGATTAAAAACTGGTCTTGTCTCTCTCGGTCGTACTCGGTTGCAAGAGTGTGAACGAGCCTTTAATGGCAAGAATGCCAAACAAAAGAAACGGAAAGTTGAAACTCTGCAATCAATGGCACTCGCTGCCAACCATCACTGATGTCAAGAAGCGAACTCAGACATAAGGTCTGACGACTGTTATGATGAACCCATTGAGTTTAAGCTGAAGTATGCGTTGGACTGCATTGAAAACATTCAACTGAAAAATCTTTGTTGCAAGATGACAGCAATATTGTGGGTGCCAATGCAACATTTAAGAAAAAGAAGCTAAGGGATCAAGGCTAAATAAATTAGTTCCTGTCCGCTCCAGCGAGGTGCTTGCGCTTCGTCCTCATGCAAAAGCACCTGGTCTATAAAGTCGGTGCATTTGTGTGTGTATCTGTGCGCGTGCGTGCGTGCGTGCGCCGGTGTGTGTGTGTATGTGCAGATAGTCAGTGCCTATGTAGCAGTCTCTTGGGTATCCTTGTGGTGCTACAGCGTAAATGCCGACATGCTGTACAGATATTGTGTGTCTTGGTGCGCCGCGATAGTTGTCTAAACGCGCAGCCTTACGAGCTTCCATCGTCGAGCCGTAGCGGTCCGAATTTTAGGACATTGTATATATACTCCGTTTTAGCTTAAAAATATGGGGAAGTTGTATTTAGTAGATCGAACACCGTTCTTGACTCAAGGGAGGCACTTTATTTGGCGTAAAGATTGCAACGACGGCCAGTGTTTATGTTACAAGTTTGGTCCTATTAAAAAGAGGTACACGCTTTCAATTGCGCCACAGTTTGTACTTTAATTTCACCAGTTCAAGGCACTCCTCCAACATGGTACGTCAAGAAAAAAAAATTGCCACTGAGCGACACGCTTTTATAAGATGATACAAGAAAAAAAGTGAGGAACAAGCAAGCATGGTAGTGAACATTCTGTAGAAAAACCGTTCAATCTTTGCTCCGAGCCCCACCGTCCAGTGTACATTTTAGTATAAGCTAATGTGCCACCATAGCGTTAATAAACAAAGACAAGCAAGTGGACAATTACACAGCGTAGTGGCTCCTTGACTTTTCCCGCCTCTAATCTCACAGGCGAAATCGCAGAGGACAAATTGTGAGCAGACGATGGCGCTCTCGTGCGAAGGAGGCAACCCTGACCTACATACAACGCGAACTTTGAGCTTATGATAGTCATCCGCTAAACAAATTAGGTGCTTATTCCTGATAAGGAGGCCTTGGCTCGATATACGTTCCGAAAAGCTTTGCCAGAAACCCAGATACGCGAGAACCTAGATAAAAAAAAAAAAAAAATAGAGAAAGAAAGATTATTGATGACTAATAAAGAAATATTAGCACCAAAGGCCAATTCGACTGAGGCTTGGCGGGCAAAGAACCTTAGGACTTGTATGATCGGGAAAGGAATTTCACAAAAAGGACGTGGTTATAACCTTGATACCTACATCAACTTGAATTTGCATATAGTGCAGTAAAAGTTCAATTAATTTTGTACAAGAGACGCAACGGCGAATTTGCATTTGCAGGAACAAAATCAATTAACGATTAATAAAAAAAAAAAAGACAGAGTGCGAAAGGAAAAAGAAACACATGAAAAACAAACGAAGTCGGAACCCCAGCAGCGGTCATGGCTTTGGAGACTTGAAAATGCATGACTATATTTATTTCAGTTTTTTCGTCACATTAACAACATATTTTCGGTGTCTTTCTAGTGCATTTTAAGGAAAATTGAGCAGACGTGTAGTTCACGTCGCGGAGACTATACATAAGAAAAACAGCAAAATAACAGAGGGCGCTCACTTCGTTGAGTCACTTCTGTCGTTGTAGTTATGGCACAGAGTTTTACTTCGTTTTGAAAACATCCTACTACTTATCGAATCCCTGCGGAAAACACCAGGAGGAGAAATTTGTAAACTATCAAATTTCATGAGCAACAAACAACATTTACGCGAGTCATAATTGAAAAATAAAGTGCGATTGAGTATTGGATTTATATACACAGAACAAAAAGCTCGCGCGACTCATTCGCCCAAATACATTTTTATTCGTTGACACAAGCACCCAAACATCGGTTGCACAAAGAAAAAAATATTTTTGGTGATCTCTTTGGCAACATTTACGCACCCTAATGCAACTTATTTGTTGCATCAGGCAGACGAACCAGTTGTGACCCCTGATCGACAAAAATACTCGCTCGAGCAGACGCAAGAAATAACGACGAAAATCCAATTACGCGAACACCCGTAATAAGCATAAAAAAAGGCGAAAATGTTTGATTGTGAGCTTTTTATTATTATTTAAGGTAATTTGTAATCTAAATCCTCGAATAATGAACTGGACATTAAAGTTGTTCCAGGCTCTCCATTTCAGCCGAACTCCTATTGACGCATATGCCTCGGACAGAAAATGACTTATGACACTGCATTGTCACCAGCACCCAGACGTCGCGCCTACGCACGTTCCAATACGAACCACACCAGCAGAGACTTGCAATGCGAGGCATCATCCAGCTGCGGGCCGTGGTACACCCTAAAACGGGTGCCTACATGGATACGCAAGATATCTACTTAATTGGTCGTTATCATAAGGACGCACAGTTCCCTTTTTCCTTTTTATTTTTCGCGCGCTTCGCGTATTTTTTTAATTAAGCTTGATGCGTTCACACGAGTTTCTGACCCGCCGTTTTTTTACTTGAAGCCTGAAGCGGACTATTTACTGTCCACAGCAACGGCAGAAATGCTTGTCCCATGGTTGTCCTCAAGTCTAACGGTAACATTAGACAGTACGCATCGAGACTGGTAATACCGCCTACGACGATTACCTAGACGACACCATCTCTGAACTTATAGCGTGCTTTTTTTTTCTTCAACACTGTGTATTACGAAGAGGTGCTGGCTGCTAGGCTATCCACGAACTGAGCGTCATCATGCTGGAGGTCTTCTCGTCAGCGGCTCGAGCCGGCTTGAGCATGCGGAGCGTCGGCAACACACGAGAGCTAGATGAGCTACAAGAGCTACAAGAACTACGCCGAGTCCCCCTTCAACACTGTACATTATGAAGAAGTGTTGACTGCTACGACATTCACGAGCTGAGCGTCATCAGACTGGCCGTCCTCTGGTCAGTGGTTTGCGGCGATTCGAGCGCGCTGAGCGTCGGTGAGGTTACAATGGCCGACGAAGCGTAGTGTCCCGATGGCCGGAGTGGGTTGGCACCGTAGGCGACCAGGGACGACAGGGTCATGACGGACGGTATCCGGGCATTGCTGCTCACTGTGTGACTAGTAGACAGGGGCACGCCGCTGGAGGTCAGGGAAGCCTGGCTGAAGCTGAACGGCAGACCCAGGCTGATGTGCGGCAGCGGACCGTTCTTGTTCAGCAGCCCGTTCATGTCGGCTGCGGAAGCGGAACACCAGTGTCGTTAGTCGAGACACACATATTAAGGTTTAATAGAAGAAAGACGCGAAATCGTGCTGTCATTTCATGAAAATAACCAGACAGTGTACCCACAGGGTGTCTCAAATAGCGGCCAATCTCTTTAAATTGACCGCAAAAATTGGTTTTTTAACCTATCGCGAAACGATTTTGCGCAGCGTGCACAAAATCGCACAGCTGGTGCATTTCTTTTATAAAATTTGCAAAAAGCGATTTTACCCAAGGAAAAAGTAAAAAAAAAAAAAAAGGCTTAGCTCTTATGGAAACTCAGCGAAGCCACCGGTCTTCAAACAATACGGCGCCGCTTCGCACGGGAGACAAGAGATGGCGCAAACGGTCGTGATGCCAACTGCCGCCAACGAACGAGCATACGGCGCCGAGAGCCGGCGTCATTGGCAGACGATCTTTTCGACTCAAAAGCGGTGCGAGATTTTTCGATGTCAACTGCCAATGCATGATTTTATCATCTTTACTAATAAAACACATAAAGTGGACACAGTCGATTATAAAAATTGGTTGTCGGGTTATTTTTACTTTTTTTTTTTTTCGGGGTACTAGTCGGCTTTGCAGTTCCTTCTTGTTCCCACGTCTGTTTTTGGTTCTGCGACTGTCGCCGCCTGCGGAACGCGCGCTGATAACCTTGTGCCTCTCACAGCTTGACCTAAAATAACTCAATGACTCTGAAGTTGGTTTGGATAGCACGTCTCGAGGCCGGCATGCTTCGTGCCTTCGGTTCACCTATTGCTTCACGTTGGTCGTGTTGTGGCGTCTCTCTCGTCAGAAAGCAGGTTTAAACGACAGACTTCTTCACAACTGGGATCGATTAAACCTAGGGAAAACTGATTTTAGAGAACCAGCAGGTATGCATGCTGGATTAGGTCTTCCTAGGCTTTAACCTCTTCGAGCTATGGACGTGCACCCAAAGCGTTTATCATTGTACCGGGTGAGTAAAGGGGTCGATGGCTGTTTGAAGGGACCGCATAAATCGGTTTCTCAACGAATCGCACAAGAATTTACTACACAGGTGTACAAAGGTGGTGCACTCATTGATTGAGAGTATAAATGCATAAAACTCCCGGAGTAAAAAAAAAACTGTCTTTTTGTATGGAAAATTATTGCTAAGCCTTTTTTCTCAGAATAATCAGAAAATAGTTCTCGGCTATTCTGGAGTTTATTACGACTGAAAATGGGTGAAATGAAAGAAAAATACAATTGACTTAGCAATTCTTCACTTCATTTGGCCCAAATAAGCGCCACAATAAGGAAAATATAGTTTTTGATTTTTCGCGATTTACTCGAGTGAGCCACTCTTGCTTCCACCACCTTCGGGCACCTCTGTAGTAAATCCTGGCGCGATACGTTAACAAACCGATTTATGCGGTTTCTTAACGTGGCAGATAAAGTTAAGGATACGCTCCCTTTGAGCACAACTTGGCAGACGGCAAAAGCTTCTACATTATCCATACAATCATAGCTTTAGAGAGATCGAAGTATGAACGTACCATCGGCGCGCACTCCTCGAAAAGCCATCACGTGTTACGCTACGTCCCTCTGATTAGATCGCGGGGGTCGTGTTCATGTTTCTAGAGCGCAGCTCTTAGGCGCCAGTTCCCGGCTTGAGCGGTGTCGCCGTTGCCGTCGGCGTCACCGCGCGCGTTGCATTATGGGACGTTTTCCCACTAACCTTAGCGGTTAAATTTTTCGCTAAATTTAGTGGGGAGTTCGCTAAATCAAAAGGGAAATTTCTCTCCTAGATTTAGCGGGGGATTTTTTCCGCTAAACTTAGCGGGGCAATGTCACCCGTAAATTTAGAGGAAAATTTTCCCGCTGAATTTAACGGCAATATTCCCCTTGCTAAATTTAGCAGGGGAACTTGCGCTAAATTTAGCGAAAATATCCCGCTGGAGCAGAAGAGTAGGAGGAGGAGTGGGTACGGAGGGGCATTCCCTCCCCTCCACCTCCTCATGGAGCTGCGCTCTAATCCGGCATTACGGAGAATGGTAAACGTCTTTCTTTTCTTTTTAGAACGCAGCTCTTAGGGGCCCGTTTCCGGCTTGAGTAGCGTCGGCGTCGCCGTCGGCGTAACCGCGAGGTCACGTGACCCCCCCGAGGTCACGTGACCCCCTTGAAGTCACGTGACCCCCTTGAAGTCACGTGACCCCCTGAAGTCACGTGACCCCCCTGAAGTCACGTGACCCCCCTGAAGTCACGTGACTTCTTGAGGTCACGTGACCTCAAGAAGTCACGTGAAGTCAAGACAACCCTAGGTCACGTGACCCCCTTGAGGTCACGTGACCCCTTGAGGTCACGTGACCCCTTGAGGTCACGTGACCTCAAGGAGTCACCTATCCCTCAGTACGCTTCCATCTTCCTCTTCAAGAGCTGCGCTCTAACCGGCGTTACAGGGAATCGTAAACGGCTTTCACTTTTTTAAATCTCAAATAAAGGAACGGGGGCGATCAAGCCTCGCATTCATATGCTTACACCTGCTGCACCATTCATTGCCGACGAACGTGCCTAATATTAATAGTGCAGCGAACTTTATAGTTTTGTCCTGAAGGAAGCGATGAAAGACGCTGGCATGTTTGTTTGCCTTAGGGGCCTCGCGATTGGGGCGAAATATAAACCCAAGAGACACAAGACATGGTTTGGGTACGGCGGATGGGCGGTGGTGAGCCCCTATTGCTTAGGGGCGCCCTGACGTTAGCAGTGTCTGCAAACTCAGCGCCTGTGCTTTGCCAACCCCAGCATGTGGCTATGATGAACATGAGTGGCATAGAATCGGGTGCAGATCACGTGTCCGCTTGTTCTGACTGCAAGTTGAGGAGGTGAACGCTGAACGCGTTTTGTATATGTTATAAACGTCCGGGATTCATCGCAAGAGGCATTTACGCAAAGTACAAAACATCGTTGCACATTGGCAATCGCTTTAAGGTGAAACGGAGAATAGAAAAGTGATATCCGTTTCCAACCAAGTCAAAACGCAAAAATATATATATATAAAAAAAGCTGTTTTTATTTTAGTATAGTGGATATTACATCGCACGAAAACTTTGAACGAAGCTGGACTTTATATTTTCACTAATTTTTTTTTCCGCATTGTTATCAGTGATGGCACGAATTTATCAATCAACCTGACGTGTTAAAAATGTATCTAGTGGTAAAGGATTACTATTTTTCTAGATACAGTTATTTAAGTCAAATAAATCTGATTAATTTTATTAAAAGAAAGGTAATTTTTTCTTGTCTCTTAATATCCGCCCAAAGCTGATTTAGTCCGCCTACCCGCATCCAATATTTTTCTCTGCTGCTGCTTTAGCTTTTCTGTTTTTTTTTTTTTTTTTTTTTAATAAATATATACTGGTATTTCCTGATGCGTATTTTCACGGCCGCTAAAATTTCGATCCAAGTTTTCTAGTTGATCTTCTCCATCTTGTGTATAAATATCTCTAAACATACTCTTATGCACAGATTGCTAAACAATCTCTTATGTGCAAATAGCACAACACACTTATGAACAAATAGCTAAACACTCTCTTATGTACAATAGCTGAACACTGTCTTATGTAAGAATAGCTGAACACTTATGTACAAATAGCAAAACAATCTCTTACGTACAAATAACTAAATACTTTCCATGTCTATTTTCACCCATGTATATTTATCTCAGTTTTATTACTAACTTCAGTGCCTGCGAATTAAAACCATCCCACATCACCTGGTACCCCTTCATTCAATGTTTGAACATGATCTTTCTTTTTCAGAAAGCACTGCCGCCTGGTGGACCGCTAAAACAAGGGAGTAAGCATGCTTCTTCCGCTGGACGACCGAGTGTTTGGCACATCAAGAGGACTAAGGCTAATTTGGGGGTTTTACGTGCCAAACCTACGACGGGCATCTGGCACGCCCCAGCGGAGGGCTGAGGATTAATTTCGACCACCTGGGGATCTTTTGACGTGCATCCGAAAGCTCGGTTACACGGAGCCTTCTCCGCAATAAGCCTCCGTCATATTGCGGGCACCTCGGTCGGGATTCGAACCGGCCACCTGGGGATCCGTAGGCCGGGCACATCAAGAGGAGAGCTTTGCACACTGGCCATCAAATTGATGGCGACAATCAACGAAATGTTTCGGTGTCGTCACACCCAGAATTATCGATTGCCAGCGACAATTTTTATAGTGTGTAAAAAAAATCACGGTCTAAGCTTGAAGTCATCGCGTCCTTAAAGGAGTGGTGCAACGATATTCAATTGGAATGTTTTTCACTTTACATGAGCTTACTGGCACGAGTGGGGCTCAAGGACGGTCGCATGAAACGCCACTGGCCAAGAAACTCCTTTGTTGCGGTGTAATTTCAAGGACAAAAGCGATTATTTTCTTTTAATCTCTCCTTTGCAAAATTTGATGACGTAACGTGGGGATCGCAGTACACCCCAATGACAATATTTGAATGTGGTTCATAGATTGGACCCGACCATTGTGGGGGCACTCGATTTGGGCTCGCGATAATTACTAGCTCGAGAAGCATTCGGGTAGTGGCCCGTGTCCAATCGCTGCAACGACGACAATAGCCGAGCCATAAAAATGTCTGGAACTCAGCGCGTGTCCTGTACTTTGCCAACCCCAGTGCGTGGCTATGATCCACATTGGCGGCATATAATCGGCTCCAGATCACGTGGCCGCTTGTTCTGGCTGCAAGTTGAGGGGGTGAACGCTGGTCGTTTGTCTTTAATTTTTTCTGGGACTTCTATTGCGAGGGGTGAAAGACGAACGCGTGTTTCATAAGTCATTAACGTTAGCGATCCGTTCTAAACGGTATTTGCCCAAAGTACAAAAATTGTTGCGTCACCCCTTAAAGCAACACCGTCATAGTGTTTAGTCTGACATTAATTCCATTAATGAAATCATAATTCATCATATTTAAGACGTTATACTGAGCCTTTTGAAAATCGTGGGGCTCAATCATAGAGACGCTTGTGGTCGCCCACGTCGCCAGTAGCAATGATTTAAGAATATCTTAATGGAAGCGTGCACCCTCAACTTTTTCATTCAAAGTTGAGGATACACGAAGTTGCCAGACTGGTATTCGAACATGGTCTATTCACTACAGTTTTCGCTCGCGCATATTTCTTTGCCGCGGAATGTACGAGGGTTATCAATAAAAACAAGAGATGGCTTACCAAACAAAGTAGGATGTAAGCTGCAGCTAGAATAATACTAATTCACATAGCTAAAGGAATTACCTTCCCAACAAAGACGACGAAGAAAAAATAACCTGTACCATGGAACTAGCCTGAAAACAGGGGGTGGCGGTTTTAGCCGCTCCACGCCAAGGGATTGCTCTCGGGACTCTCCATTCAACGGGGGTCTCTTCCACGGTGAGTCGAACAACGCGCGAGCGACCTTCGAAGCATTCTGACCAAAACGGTAACGGCAGAGTTTGAGAAGTTGTAAGTACCCTAGAGAAATGATCGGAATATACATCCACGCCTACGCACGACTTCGTATGCAAGGTTTCCTTGCTGTTCTTGCGTCTCATTCAACATCAAGCGATCGTTTTTCGGCGCAGTGCACAGAAGGCACTCAAAAAGAACACATTTTCTGGCTTTAAGAACTCCCATGATGGTTGCTACATAACAAAAATAACACATTTGATGGTGAAAAATATAAAGCGCAGAAGGTACAGGTGCAGCAGCCAGGTGCTTCACAACGGCTGTTGAAAAGGAGAACTATAACATTTTAGTGTATACATGCCTAACGTTTTTTTGCCACAGAAATAATTTTTGTATTATAGCCGCGTAGAACCGAACATAGTCATGCCTATTCCCGATTCGTCGAGAGCTTGCCATGCCACGGCAAGGACACTTCTCGTCTCACAACCAAGTTCCATAATGCTGCAGTTGCTAAGTCAGTGCTCTTGCAGCCGCCTCCGCAGGTTTCATTCCACGCCGGCCTTGTCAAACATGTCGTTATGTGATACTATACCACATCGATTGCAAGTATCATGCACATCCTCACCGCAGACACAAATACAAATAACGAGTGGGTATCTCAATTCGCGTCATTTCTCAGTAACGGTTGACTCACGCGCTTGCGTTTGGTTGCAACTGAGTGCACCACAACTGTTTTCGAAATATCCTGTGAGTGCCTACGACCGGCAGTCACATAAAGCTTCAAAAACAGCTGTGGCGTAGTCGGTCGGTCGCTGTCCAACGCAAGTGCGTAAAGTAGCCTTAAGTAATCAGCGCTCGCTGCCATATGGTGAAATCAACACAGTCTTACAGTTTCATTAAACTATTGGTTCTGTGCAGCTCCACTATCCTCCATGCCTTTTTTTTTTTTTTTTCCGTGGCCTGTTTATTGGGAGACTTGAAGAAGACAAGTCCTCACCTAAGGACGGTTCTGGGATGCGAGTGGTGCCATGGATCTGCGCCTGCTGCTGCGCAGGGTGGTGCTGCGGCTGGCGTTCCTCCAGAGATCCGCTGCCCACCAGGACACCTCCGGAGCTGAGAGACAGGCCGAGTCCGCTGACGCCGCCCACAGACCCTGGGTTCTCCAGCCCCTTGACTCCAGAAGACCCGGAGCCTGAAGAAGAGTTCTTCGGCTTGCGCTTTCTGGTCTGGATGCTGTCCTTCTTCATCGCCAGTGGTCGGTTCACCTGCATGTATGGAGCAGGGGACGGCAAGGAGGCTTAGCGACACCGGACTTCTGAGTTTTCATAGGAGCTGCGATTTTCTAACGTCGCCCTAAATAAATCGTAGGTAAAAAAGGGTGGAAAAGCAGGACATCTTGAATAGTATGTATATATTGCGAGTACTTTTGAATGCTCAATTGATTTTACATACCTTAGCTGATCTGCAGTTTTACTCATAAATGTTATTGTGTTTTGTGTATGCTTAGTCAACGGGAAGTTAGGCAGCCCCAATGGGCGTCTGCCGTTACTCTGCAGATGGGAAACTTAATTTGCCAGTAGTACCACTGCCAGACCGGGATCTTTAATAACATGCCTCATGCAGTTATCATGCAGGATCGCGCGCCTATACGATGCTCATCCAGATCGAAACGGGCAGGAGTGGATAATGAACCCGGGTTTCTTGGGTTCTGCAGCGAGAAATTCCGACCCACGTGCTTGCAAGGTTTCTCTAACGAGATAACATTAATGAAAAAAGACGTACTGTTCGACAAGCTCTAAGATAGCTGTAAAACAGCTCAGTACAATGCATTTTTATACCCTTGTTACATGGGTACACTTAACTGCAGTTTCGGTAAGCCACAGTTACAATTTCGGACAACGTTCTGTACTTAAGGCAAGACACTGGTTCTAAAATCGACTTTTTTGTTTATTAATGGATTATAATGAAAATCAGTGTGTATATGTGTTTTGGCTTCCTCTTTTCAAATATTTAATTAGTTCTGCAATATCTCAATTACTTTTTGAGTTACGAAGAAAATAATGAAACCTAATTAGGTCATTTCTTACGACTCATTAAGGAACTTTCTAATACAAATTTTTTTGCATAAGTGATATGGATTTGTAGCTAAAGACCTGTCATGCAAGATGATGCTATTTATATTTTTGTAAAAATAGATCATTGTATAAAACTAGTCTAATTAGGTCAAGTACACTATTTACAAAGCCTAACGAGGTCACATTATCACTAATAATAAAATTTCGGGCCCATACTGTCATACAAAAATAGCATCACCCTTCAGTTCACTTCTTTCTGAATTCAACGGTATAAGGTTTATAGAAATCCTTGAAGAATAATCTCATCAAAACAACCGTAAGGCTAGGCATGTAGACGAAAAATGCGAAGCTGAGAAAATTGCAGTTGAAGTTTTGGCACTCATTGCATAAAATTCAGTAAGGGATCCCATGTAATAATGTTCAGCAATATGAAGCATAGTTCTATCTGAACAAATTCAGATGAAAAATTCTGCAATCTGTTCACAAGAACCTTTAAAAAATAATATAAAACTGAGAAATAATGTCTGCAATGTAAAATCTAGTTATAAAAGTATGAGTAGACTCTATAAGGGACAACGGGAGGAGGCACCAAGGGTTGCACGCTCCGAAAGCAGATTTTGTTTGGCCCTGAAAAGGGCCTTTGTTCGTGTAGCACTTGAAAGGGGAGCCCCTCACAGCCGTCCAGGACTGTAGTCCCCAGCTGTTCCAGTTTGGTGTTGCCTGGAGAACCTCTGCTTTGCATTGCTGCTGCTCTGGTGGGCAGCGTTGGCCTTACGCAAACGCAGATTGTCCTTCTCCATGCTTGGAGAGCTTTCATGCCCACTACAATGAACTGTGTCCCAGCGTCGCGCGTCTGGCCTCCTGTGGTGACGCCGAGAAGGTCGAATTTGCGCTGGGTCGCCGACTTTTCCGATAGCGCACGCTTGCATTCGTCCGATCGTGCGACTCGTTGCGCCTGCTCGGCCGTGAAGTAGTATGCGGTGTCAACACGAACCGCGCTCGCAAAGCTCGACAAACTGCCGCTGCTGTATGGATTCGCGATGTCTCCGGCTGATGTTTGCGGAAGATCCAAGGCATCCGGCGGTGCCGATCGCGGTGGCGCACTTGCAGCAGACAGCTTCGGCTTTTTGTTCCACGGTCGCTTCCTCTTCCTTCCGAACGCTTGCCGCGTGCTCGATTTCAACCGAGCGTCGTCCGGCATCTCGAGAACTCGAAGCGAAACAAAAGAAAACACGCGCGACTTCGTAGGAAAACAAACCAACAATGTTCAACGCAAGCGCGCAAACGGGAACTAAAACGTGCGCTCGACCACGGAGGAAACAAAGCAGACAGGCCTAAGGAGACGGGCGGAGACGGGCCCAGGAGCAGACGACGCACCTCTCGCCAGCGCGGGAACGGAAAGGAGGAAAGGAGAAAAAGAGCGGAGGGGCGCGTTTAGGCCAATAGCAGGGGCGCTAGGCACCGCGCGTGCTCTGACGTACGGGCACCTTGCTAGCCGGCCAATGAGCGATTGCAATTGGGGCCTTTGAAACCCGCGGAATGCGGACGTTCCCCGATGTTGTCGCGATAACGAATGGCATGGGGACGTGGGGAAAATAAGCGGCTTTCCAACAAGACCAAGATGGCCGCGATCCGACGAGCGATCGCGAAACGCGCGGGGCGCGAAGTTCCACTTGTTTTCATTGAACTCGCTGTGCCAGGGCGCTGCGGGGACATCGTAAATATCATTTTTTTCATGCTTAGACATTGAATTCGACATTGAAACTTTGCAGGCAGGTACCTTAGACTACAATTAATCCAAATAGGTGAATTTTGAAAAACGCGAAATTTCGCGTTTTTTGAACATTTTAAGACCCGCGTCTCCCCTTAAGCAGTCAAAGCTAGGCGCACGTGCGCTTGCACATCTTGAGTGCCCACCAGAACTGCGTGCGCGCACTCTTCACGTCTGAAATGGATGTCGGAAAGTTTATATGGTGCAGCAAACGTAGTGAAGTGTACTGCAGTTACGCTTCACCATTCAAAAGTAGTGAACAGTGCGCATGCAAATTTTCATGTTCTTGTACAGACGCACATTACAGACGTACATTCAAGTTGGGTACCCAGCCACATTGGAATACCTGAAAATGAGGCCGCTGGGGCACAATCTTCGTTGGACTGTTCTTGACGCTCTCCCATCTCCAATTTGTGTTAAGTGCGCGCTATTGCCGATACGATTTTTCACACACGACCAAAATGAAATTTCATACACCATGCCTGATTACGGGCGTCTAAAATACTCCCGGAAAACTGATTGCTGTTAAGTCCCGACAGTGTGGGGAAGCACTGACACGCATGCTATGTACGATCTGGACCTCAATTGGCTTTTCGGCTACATCCCGGCTTTGCCCATACAGCAAAACTCGTGAAACTATTGAGCACTACTTTTTATCTTCCCTCCAATTTATGTGCCAGCGCCAACGTTATATGGTGCAACCATTCTCAGTGCTGGCTATTCCTCTCAATATTGGGAACTACCTTTTGTTTGGTAAGACTTTTCTTTGCTCAATACGCTTTACGTTTAACTATCCAGGATATTGTAGCATCCAAGTGCGTACGATGGTCGGGCCATTTAGTCTCAAGGTGAAATGTTTATATATAAAAGATCAGTCTCTCTGTGTTCTTTTTTATATAAAACTAAACCTTGGTCAACCCCCTCCTCGGGAAATGCGCCAACAACTCAAGAACAACAGCAACAAGAAGAACATGCGTTTTGACTGCATAGCCACAGAACGTTGTCCAAAAGTACAGTGAGGTAACTGTGGCTAAGCGTAACTACAGTTAAGTGTTGGAGCGCATTGGCTCGGGTAAGCCAGTAATGAACAGTGGACTTTGGCAATGATCGCAGAGGATTTATGGCGCGCACCCAGCACGATAGAACCGTGCCACAAACATCTTCGTGGCACCGTTCCTTCTTGGTGCGAGAAAAGCCAAATGCAAGTCTGTCAGAATGCGTACTGCGAACCTTAGCTACACGCATGTCCGGACGTTGGTCCCGGGGCTCTAAGGTGGACACCTGGCGAGAAAGTTGACGACATCTTTGACCGCCACTATTGCTTGCATGGTCAGCTCCAAGGTCAAATGCGGCGCTGGCCAATCGGCGCTCTCGACGAATTTCTAGCCACGTGTTGAACATGGAGCTCTATGTTCATTTGTAATGGGTTCCACACAAGCGGTGTGCCATGGCGCCTTTTCATGATGCCCAAAAATGCACACGCGTGCTTGCAATGGTCGTAGTGGGACGCTGCATAGCGCACCTAAGCTTTCAGAGGAAGCTGAGGGATCGGTGGCGAAGAACGCATAAAAAGTGAGGTGAATTTTTGTTCCCATACTTTTGTATTTTGACTGAGTACAAACCCCACTTCGGCACTGCCGAATTAAAAAAAAAATACAGTTACGGTACGGTATGATGATTATGATGATGATCATCATCATCATTTTAATTTAAAAACTTCATCGACTCCACACTGAAAGCATCAAATGTGAGCGGAATAATGTTCAGCTATAGTACACTTCCTTTTGAACTCCTGTTAACCTTTTTCCAACAAAGCGATAACAAATTTTGTCATGCCAGCAACCATGTCCCACCTCTCTGATTATCGGGGAACCACAAAATTTTAAGCCATATGTCTCGTAGGTCTGGAGGGGTACATGCCAGCCGGGTGTCCGGATTCTGTTTCTTCTCGGAAGGAAATGTTTGGGCTGTTATCAGTCGAGAGCAAACGTCGAGGCACAGTTGCCGTGCCCTCCCCACGTCTCCCGTGTCCGGCGTGCCGCTGACCAGCGGCGACCGCCGAACTGGAGACGACATGTTTGCGAAAGGTTCGCGGATCCGGTGTGCGCTGGTTGGCCGAATGACGCTTGGCAAAAACAGCCGCATGATCACGAGATCCTGACGCCCGTTGCTCTCTGCAACCGGAAGACTCTTAAATTTTTTTATTGTTTTGTTTGGTTGTTTGTTTGGTAATTTGTTTTCTCGCTTTCAGCGAAACTGAAACTCAAAGCTACGCGGAGCATTGGGCTCTCAGCCGCTTTTGTGAACAGCCCGCCCTGACCTTAAATGTTATTAAAAGTGTAACTTTTATTTCAATTTGGTAAAAGTTTGTCCGATTTTGAATTTAAGCACTAGCAATACCCGCTATTGACTGCATAATAGAATTTGCCATGTTGTAACACCATGTGCAGGGGGGTGAGTTCCAGCGGCAATTTGATATTGAAACTAAGACTTTGGATTCAGGAACACAAAAAGCGTTCCCTATCTGTCAGCTTCCCCTGATCGTTTAGCGACCAGGTAACATATATACGAATACCCAGAGACATTCATAATTTTACGGCGCACTTTTGGAAACTTGTCTGTGACGAAGAAATGTGTTTTCTGATACCGATTCTCCAGCTATTTGGGCTCTTGTGTCCATTCTATGCCTTTTGAGAACAACGACGAGCTCCCGTTTCGGACTTTCATTCAAATGGTCTAAGTGCCCAATATGTTACCAGGCGCCTCTGTCAGCTCGACCTTGTCGTTTTCAACAGCCTGTAATTCAATGTCATAAGCGGCCCATTTCCAAGTGAAGGTGTCTTTTTGCAAAGGGTCGCCAAAGACGAGTGCTTGTTTTTCTACACTTATCCCAAAATCAGGCAACAAAAGATCATCTAGCCGATTTTCCTTTTTTTTTTTTTGTGGGTGCATATGCACACAGAGGACTCGCTAAAGATTGACGTGATCTGAGGATGTGATGGTAAGGGCGCCTTAATGTTAAGGAGGCGGTGCAACACTTTACAGTGCCCGCATCCGACAGCCCACAATAACTGGGAAAATGAAAAAAAAAAAGAGCTAGCGTGATTTAAACCGGCAGCAAAGCACCGTTCATCAAAGCTAAGAGCTCAATACCAAAGAAAGACGAGTAGACATTAACGCTAGAGAGGGTCATTGATGTGTCTAGAATAATTTACAGACGTTCATCACTGGAGTGAGCGCCACAATTTCAGAGGAAACTGACCAAAGTGCACAGACGCCGCGAACAGTTGTTTAAAATTGTTCACAATGCCTTAATAACTCGAGATATAAAAAAATATATATATATACATCCTCAATGTCACAATAACCACACATGCATGTTAAAGAATTGGCGGTTCCGTCAGAAAGTGGTCCATTGACTCGTTCGAACCACCGAGGGAGTTCAGCTCTGACTGCCAGTATTCGAGGCTGCTTACTTGACTGACTAGATCGAACTATGCAGGGAGAGAGCCTGATGGAGACGAGAAGACGAGAGCGAGCGGGAACGTCAGAACGCCGAGCTCTGATTGGAAGAATTAGTGGGTAGACCTAAAGCTAGCGGCCCACGCCGGACGCCTGCGTTCCGCGTACGACGAGTGCAGTGGACAGTGGACACTAGGGCAGCTAGCTTTGAGTCTATCCACTATTCACTCCAACCAGCATTCTGATGTCATTCTCGGCATTCTGATGTCCCCGCACGTTTTTGTCTCCTTCTCTCCCTCAGTTTTTACCCGCAGAGAGAGAGGACTTTGTCCAGCTTGTTTTCGGCAGAGCGAGCGAACGCACGGCTTGTAGATTGGATTCGTTACGCAATCTTCCGCTACAAATAGCGTGTCCTGAAAACGCGATCTACGAAAACTCTATTGTCTCCTTCCCCACGAGCGGAGCACCGCTAAGAGAAGGCGGTTAGGAACGCTCCCGAACAGCGGGTGAGCCGAACCCGAGCCCCCGTCAACAAGTCCAGCCACGCGCGACACCCCAGGCCACTTGTAAGCCGAGCCCGGAGATAGCGGCCCCGGGGAAGAACCGAGCGCGCCGCGGCGTCCATTCCGGCAGGCCGGCCCCCTTTTTGATATAAAACAACATAGCACGCCTCTTGATAATAGACGCGCGTTATCTGCCCTATTAGCGGGCCCACTCGCGCCGCCGGGATGGGGCCAGGGGTGGCCTCTCCTCTACGCGCGCCATCCTCGAGTTACAAGGAGGTCCCGCGCCGACGGACTGCTCGCCGTCCGTTCAGCACTGGCTGGCCGGTGGCCGTGCGCGTGCCGCCGCCGGGACGGCTTCTTTGGCCTCTCGATGCCTCGCGTCTTCGCCCGCTTTCTGGGACCGTCTCCGAGGAAGGAATCGTCCTCCTCGCCGACTTCTGGAGACGGACACCCAACACTGCGTGGCCTTAGCTGGCGTCAGAGCGGTGGTGGCGTCGACGCCGGAGTCGGCATGCGGTTATGATCAAACTCTTGACGGTTCGGGTTATCGCGGGGTGGCCAGGGGGTTGCCGGGCGAGACCCAGGAGCCAAGGTTCGCGGCAATTCGCCCATCGCGATAACGCCCGCTGACTGTCAGTCTCGCGTCGATGTTGCTGCATATATGCGAGTTGCGCCCGGTCGCTCTGGTTTTGTAGGAGAGCCTGCGTGGGCGTGTTATGTGACAATGTCGCTCAGGGGGGTAAAGTTGTTGCATAACTTGTGCGGCAGTGCTTGCCTCACGTCGGCACGCGAAGTGAGGATGGCGGAGATGTACTCATAGTATTTGGAAGTAATTGACAGGCCCTGCGTGCATGATGTGAAGTGCGATGCATCTTGCCCCTTCAATTTCTTCAAGATAGAAGCAAACGAATACCTCCGTACCAGTTTTTTTCTGATTACCCGCGTGCCTATGCCATTGACTTCCTCATAATAGTAATAAAAATGGGCATTTCGTGTGGTCGCGCCCCACCGGAACGCCCAGTTGGCTGGAGTACACGTAATAAGAATTAAAATTGCCTTTAACGCACACGAAATAATAGCGGTGTCGGCCATGACCGCTAGTCAGCACGACTACAACGTTCCATGTTTGTTAAATAGAATCCACTAAAATACGACTACTTCTTTCTTAATTGTACGCACTGCTGGTCCTTTGGAATCCCATTGCGTCGATTGACTAACTGTTTGAAACATGTTCTTGTTCTTTCCGCTTCTGATTGTCGATTTCATCGAACTGTTTATCAATATTAAAACACCAGTTTCCAGTTCCCATAATTATAAAGTGTTACAAGCTAGCTTAATTTTTCAAGTATCGACACAATTGGAACATTATGTGCTTTGTGGGTAAAACGCGCCACGACCTTAAGCTGAGCCTAGTGGGTTCATTGCGTATTTCTGGCGCAAGCTGAGCGCAAAGGAACACGTAGACGTAGACGTAGACACACACACACACACACACACACACGCACACACACATATATATATATATATATATATACATATAAAGAAAAAAGAACACCAGCGGTGCGTTTGCCTTTCCTGTCTCTCTTCTAGCGAATTCCTTCATGTTCAGCTGACACCATAAACAAGCGTAAATCTTGTTAAGTTGGGACGTTCCGAGTTTGTTTTTATTACAAGTCACCTTTGGTCTGTCAAGTTTTCCCGAAGGTAAGTTTAGAAGGCATTTGGTCTTTTCTACCCCTACTCTTCGAACGACGATAATCGTTCGCAGTACCCTCTGATGGGATACTGAACCGAAATTTGGAGCTCACAAAAAAACACTGGAGCGATAGGTGGGACGCTGCAAAACCCAAAGACATCACTCATACGGCGATATTTCTAACGGGTGAGCTTTATTTTTTTAAATAAGTGCGCGATTGAACAGGCCGACGAGGCCGAGACGTCGCCGATTCTCGTTCCCTCTCTCCTTCGTTTCGTCCCGTCAAGCTGGTGAACCGAAGCGAGGAGGAGAGAAGCGAGGCCGCTTCCCCTCACTCACAACTGTTCCAGGAGGACCGTGACGTCGTCGTCCTCGCCTTGATCGCGCCCCTCTTTTCCAAAAATACGGTCATCCGTTCGAGATATCGATCTACGAGCAATGTTCTGGAGTTGGCAGCTTCCCGCTCAACGTTTCTGTGGCCTTATATTGGGGAAACCGAACTTTCGGTTCAGCATCCGTTTACATCAGCAAGTCAAACGGTAGGCTAGATAGCTTAATCGCGTCTCCTTGCCTGTACTTGAGAGCCCTAGGCGGCGCCACTCACCCCGTGTAGTCGGAAGTAGAGCCCACAGGCGTTGCACACGGGCTCCCCGACATTGTTCCTCCTCCACAGGGAAGTGGTGCTCGTTTCACAGTTGGAGCACGTAAGGCCCACGCGACGCGACGCCGACTGAAAAGGAAAAGAAAATGTGCGCCTTAATCGGTGCAATACGCGACATAGAATATAACATGCAAATCCCCCGCACACTAAGAATGAAAAAAAAAAACACTTCACTAGATAAACTGGAAACAAAGTTGTAATAGGTTTCCAATATTAGACGTTAGTGGGGTCATATGAAGTCATTTTAATAAATTGCATACCATTTTCAATTAAGATTGTATTGGCTTCTAATCTCGCTCGCTGTTGGGGAGTCTTTGGCATTCAATTTGTTAAACTGAATACCATATTCGATAAGATATAAAATGAAAGCCGCTTACAACTCCCTGGAACGCCGAATTAGAGCGCAGCTCTTGAGGAGGAGGAGGGGAAGGTACGGAGAGGAGGCTATGTCCCTCCTCCTCTCCTGCTCGCCTTCCATTAGGGGAAAATTTTCCGCTAGATTTAGCGGGGAAATTTTCCGCTAAATTTTGCGGGGAAATTTAACCATAACACACCGCGCGGTTACGCCGACGGCGACGCCGCTCAAGCCGGAAACGGGCGCCTAAAAACTGCGCTCTAAAAATACTAATACACTTAGCGTGTTCTGTGAGTGTCGCGACTCAGAAGAACAGTCCGAGCCCGTAACCACGATGCGCACAAGAAGCAAGCTGAACTTTACGCTCAGGGATCCAACGCAAATTACGTTGTTTTTTTACGCTAATTTTTTTCACGACTTTATCAGTTCCTGGATGCGCATCGACATGTAACGCAATGAATTTGTTACATAAAGTTCCAAGAGAAAGTGTAAACACGCTGGCATTTTTAGGGTGAAAATACACTCTACAAATACCTTTGTGTTTTCTTCACCGCAAACCATTTGGGAGAGCCAAACGCTGCAACCTACGGAGGAAACTCGGCGAATGACGGGTCTAAAATCGTATTAAAGGAGCTGTGCAACAATTTCAGGGCTTTGCTTAAATTATTGTGGAAGTTGATGCCTGACACTTCTGAAGTGAACTACAGAAAACAGATTTTGCCTGGATACCTTAGTTTTTTATTTTAAAAAATGAAAAAGATCCAGGTTTTTGCCGCCTCTCAACTCGTACATCGTCTTCCGGGTCACTTGCGCAGTGACGTCGATGGGGTAGGCGCGGGGTTCCGGAAAAGTTCTCTCTTTAGAGCACCGTCTTCGTGAGAATTCAGGGTGCGGCAAGCCGTTTTCATTAACAGCAACAAAAGAAAGGACTCGGCAATATTTTCGGGCGTGGGAGATCACACATCATCCGTCAACGCTAGGTCCCGAGGAATAAAGAAACGGCTTGTGCTCGCTCTGGGTTCGGATTACGAGTGTCTCTTGCATCGTCGGCGATTGTTTGGACAAATCGTGAGCTCCCCGCCTGCCCCTTGGCTTTCGCGTTGAGAGACGCGCCATGATAAACGTAAAGTGCCGACACCCTGCAGCCCGCTTGTGCAAACGCCCATGCAAGGGTTTTACCCCAGTGAAAAGTCATTTTCCTCAAATCCCCTTCGGAGCACCGATGACGACTATGTTTTGCGGTGTCGCACTCACATAAGTATGTGGACGATCACCATTTATATGAAGAGGGACTTTTTCGTTTTTCTTCAATTTAAAGAAAATTTTTGGCTTGTTCTTTTATTCCAAAATGAATGGAAATGTTTTTCCAGCATTAAACTAAAAAACATACAAGAAGAGTGGTATGGTCGCTCCATAGTGCATACAATGTTACTCGCTCTGAATACGTTTTTTTCTTCATAATGCAACATTACCGTCACTTTGTTGAACGAGACCTGTATTAAAACCCTCCCTATCTGTGAAAAAAAAAAAAAAGAAATTGTTTATTCTGCTGGAATCGAGCACAGGCTTGCCAGATGACACAGATAAAAAAGCAATGACGTAATCTCGCAAACTAAGTTTGCGAGAATACGTCATTATGCCCGTAAAGCGGGCATAGTGACGTATAAAATGCCCGTAAAGCGGGCATTCCTTTGAATATTATTCAGGTAAATAATATCTTTACGTAGATCTTATTAAGACCTTCTTAAGGTAACATATAACACATAGTTACCGTTCTTACACAGCGCAGAAGGGCGGCCGAGGTGACCGCTATCTGGCGGAGGCTTATGCGGAGAAGACACCGTGTGGTCGAGATTTCGGTTGCACGTCAAAAGATCCTTACGTGATCGAAATTAACCATCGGCCCCAACTGGGGCCTGCCAGACGCATTTTAGTGGGTATGGAATGTAAAAACCTCAAAATTTGACTCATAATTTCAGAAAGGGAAGGGGGGAGGGTGAGAGAAGGGCACAATTGGTCACCTTCGTTATGACGTCAAACCATGGGAGATACGACCTGTTGCAGATTAGGGAAAGCAGGGCAAGCTCCTCAAAGAAAAACGGCTCGTCAAGATCGGTGGTCTCCTTCTCTGGCAGTCACCTTCTCTTTAGAGTTCGCTTTGCTAAAGTGGAAAGTGTGGAGGGCTTTTTAGGAGGGGCTTGCTCTGTTTATCTTAATCTGCAACAAACAATTCGCGTCTCCAGCTCGACGCTCGCCCTCCGGCGGCGGAAACGGGAAGCGCTCTAATAAGGGTCCCCCAATTCTCCTGCTCAGCGGGCACGGCGGAACTGCTCGCGATCATGGCTCGCGAAATGTCGTTTCGGAATGCAAACAACACGCTTCACTGTCCCAACGTAGTGCAGTAGCCGGTATGGGATTGTACCTCACTGGAGAGTTTTAGTATTGAGAATAAAAGCAAACGAAAGCGCTGTGCGTTTGCGTTAGAGTTGCGTGCCCCACGTCGTGCGTGCGCCTCATCGCCATGTGCCATCTAATGATACGTTTACACCTGAGAAGAAATCCGCTGCCGCGGGAGCGGATCCGCTCCCGGCGGCGGCGGCGACGACCGGGTTGCGTTTACATCTATTTCCTTCGAGCGGCGGCGGCGGCGGTATCTGTTCTCGTAACATCCCGTCAAATATGAGGAGAAGGCGCGAGAGTTCCCACCTCGGCTGTCTCTCCCGGGCCGTTGCTGCTTCCAGAAGAACGCGTACTCATGACGTAGGCAGCGTCGCGCTGCACAAGAATGTCACTTCCGGTCAGCGAAACGCCTCGTTCGGCGGCAGAAATAGGTCCCGGACCTATACGGCTCGCCGCCGCGTTTTCCGCCCAGCGTTTCGCCCCAGCGGCAAAAGCTGGGCGGATTCACTGGCGAATCCGCAAGTGTAAACGTACCATTATAAGACGCAATTTCATGCTTCGCGCACGCGCAGTGTGAAACACGCAAAGTTAACACAAACACACAGCGCTTGCATTCGCTCGTAGACGCAGTACTAAAACTCACTACTGTTTCACCGGCTTTCAACGCCAACGAAACGTGCTGCGGTGAGCAGACGTGCAAGCAGGTAGGCGTTCCTTCGAACTGAAAAGGCTGAGATTGGCAAAACGACGGAACGTAAAAATGAAAGTAAGAAAGTAACTAAATGTTATAAAAAGATTAATAATTAAAAAATTTTTTTTTTTTTTTGTGTGTGTGTGTGTGTGTGTGGGGGGGGGGGGGGGGGGGGGGTGCGGCATTTGGTTTGGAAGGATATTGGCGGCGATTTCGGACGTTTTGCCGATTGTCAAAAGTCGCGACTTTGATAGCAAAATATACTTTACCCACAATTGATGTAATTTTACATGGGTTTCTCACATTAGCTAGAATGTTTTCATTGATTTTAGACAATTTTTATTTTACTAATTGGTAGTTAAAAATGCTGCAATTGGCACTAGTGATGAGAATTAGCACACTTTTGATTGTCATATTTGTTCGCGCGTTTGAAATTATATTATAACCAACAAATTATATTAGAGCTTGAAAAATTACGTATTAAAATATCTGAATTTTAATATTATTATTATTAATACATATCGCGGCAATGTATGCCCCCAATTAACGCCAAGATCACGATAATACGACATTTAACCATAATAGTTTTTCCAGGAAGGTATGATTTTGTTTTCTTTTTAGTATATGAAAAACTGACATCGTTATTAAGATAGACAAACAGTCAAACGCTGGATGTAATATAAAGTCCTATGCCTCACGCGTTGCTATAAAAACACACACACAGACACCAGCTATCTGACACGGATTCCGTCTTTGGGTTGTTGCAATGAGAACCGCGTTTATTTATTTATACGTTTTGTAGACATATTGTAAAAAGGAGAATTTTCTCTTATCCTTGTACTGGGAACTGAATACCCAAAAACCCATTAAAAGGACCGTAGTTCATTACTTCCCATGACAATCATCTGAGCGAGAAAAGGCTGCGAGAACGCACGAATATCAGCACCGATTTTTTACAACAACTACAAATATCAGCCTGGATTGAACATGTATGTCCCAAATAAAGTTTCCGCGAACAACTTCTCTAACTAAATAATTACGATGTCACATCTTGAGTTCTAAAAAAAAAATCCAAAATTAAGACCTATATCGATAAATTAAATCCAAAATAGAGGTTAGTTTCGGTTTCGCTCCAGAATTAAAACGCTCACCCTAGCGTAAATATTACGCTAAACACCGTTCTTGTTTTCGGGGTAAAGAGGTGACCTGCGCTCTTTACACCCCAGCTTCCTCGTATTACCAGAAATAATTTGTGTCGCTCAGTGAAGCCAGCACACTAGACAGGTCCAACAGCGGCACGCATCTCCGACCCTCACTATAACCGCCATTCTGGAAAATTAGTGGCGCCACCTATTAGCGGCGAGATGTTACGGTGGCGCCGTCGTGTGGTTCCCTCTCGAGACGCCATGACCTTGCGAACAACAAGTTCGATGGTGTTTGTAATGAGCATGGTGGAAGCTTGAAATCATAGCACTCTGAAACCAACTTTGCCAACACCGTCAAAATTGAAATTCGTACATTCCTCTTAATTCCGTCGATGAGAAAACCTTTGCTGACGTCATTATCAGCATTCGGCCAATCGTGGCAGGCCGACCACAGCGACACTTTCGATCGCTCAGGTCGCCCATAGTTAGTTGGAGTCGCGAATAATGTCAGTCATAGGGGAGCGTCACAAACCATGGAAGAGAGCGTTATTGATACTCTCTCTTTCTCACTCTCGTATGCGCTTGCTTGTTATGGTAAGACTAACGCGAGCCAGTGAGGTCCATGGGGTCTTCAAAACCAATTAAAAAAACAAAACATTTTTTTTCGGATGTCGCACATTCATCCATTCCCGGGAGGCCCAAGATTCCATTTCCCCCGACTCACCAGTCTCCTGGGAGTCTTGATGATGGGCCTGTGGGCGCCGTTCATCTTGTTGTAGAGGCCGCAGGCGTTGCAGAGGTAGTGGCCCGTGCCGTCGCGGCGCCATAACGGCGTCGAAATGGCGCCGCAGTTGACGCACTCCCGGCCCTCGCCGCCAAAGTACTCCAGGTCCGCTGTAGCGGGACAACATGGAAAAGAAAACCAGAGGGAAACACACTTTAGAAAAACAAGCAGAACACGAAAGAGTTCAAACGAGGACATCCATCAATTAGGAGTAGACATCGGAAAGGCTCGTTGGCGGAGTATCGCATTTCGCAGTCGCTGCGGCGGCAAGCGAGAATTCGCGCCGGCGGCGGCTGACTCGGCATAACGGCTGTCGTGCTAGACGGAGTGCCTTCGGAGGCGGAGATTCCGACCCGACGCGGGTCAGGGTACCTTGGGGTCCCTGCACTCTGGCGAGGTTGCTTGCATTGAACTCGGACATTCTGGGGCGTAGAAAATTCAAGCCTACACACGAACTGTTTTTTTTTTTTTTTTTACACCCTTAAAGCCGCGGTCGCTCAGCTGATCCATCACACCAGAAGACGGCAGACACTGTCCGAGGTGTGCATCTTGTATGACGGTCCTCTCACGTTGCTCATACAAAAGGCCGTTTCTATTGTCGACGTGAGCGATCGAAAGCGTCGCTGTGGTCGGCCTTCCAGGATTGGCCGAATGCTGACTATGACGTCCGCAAAGGTTTTCTCATCGACAGAAATAAGAGGAATGTAAGAACTTTAATTTTGGCGGTGTTGGCAGTATTGCTTTGAGAGTGCGATGATTTCGAGCTTCCAGCATGCGAATTACAAATACCATCAAACTTGTTGCTCGCAAGGTAATGACGTCACGAGAGGGAACCATAGGAGGGCGCCACCAAAACATCTCGCCGCTAATAGACGAAGCATGTATAAAACAAACCTACTTCCAACGTGCTCAAGGTCGCGCATAGGTCTGTCATCATGTCTGCGTTGAACACCCTGTCTTTTGTATAATGTATAAGCGGTGTGACTCAAGGGTGTAAATCAGCCTTGCCCAGGGACAGAAACACCCTTCGAGTGCTCGTGAACACCCTAAAAGAATCAGGCGTTGTCGACCTTAGCAGCATCCTAAATAGCGTATATTGTTTACGAGCGACAAGTTTGCACGCAACACGCACTACACGTGCAGTTCTCGCATGCACAGAAACAACAAATGCAGATGTAACGAAGCACGCACGAAATAGGAAAGTCTCTTTACGGTGCTTCTATGTGAAGCTTCGGTTCAAAACGCATTGCCAAATCTGTCAGTCAGTGCCTTTGCTGATTTGAGGTAATGTTTGTCATTGTGGCAACATATTGTATGTATACTTGTGGACTAAATTTAGCTTTAGCAGATGATTACACCCATATCATGTTCGAGCTGGACAAAGTTCAAGCAGACCTTGAACGTCCATATGAACCGATTTGAGCACGTGCTCTCTGTATTGGCTAGCTAACCTCGATCCAGGTCGTGCCGAGAACTACCAAGCAGCCGGGTCAAATACACGTGCTTGAATTCTCTCACCTGCAGTAGTGCATTACCAAAGTCGCCTTGGCTTTTTGCTTTCTTTAGCTGGCTTCACATATCGACCAGCAATTAATGAGAATCCACATGGCTATGTTTCTTTATATTGACAGGTCCAGCTTTCACTGTGTTTTATGATATGTCGATGCTGTCAGATTTTATCGAATAACAGCATATCAGCTATGACCAGAAACAACCCGAGTGGAATGTTTTCAAACATTGTGGTAATTCGTGAAGTATTCAGCTTCTCTACTTTGTAATTAGCCCATTGGGAGATTCTGATTATTTATACGGCTTCTGATTGGACTTGTTCAGTTTTAACTTCAAACCTTGACCATCCACGTGCATGAGCAGTCTCACGCAGTTTCTTTCCGAAGGGATGATACTTGCCCAAAGTAAATAAACTAAAGACACGCAAGTTATTCAGTAAAAACGAAACCGGAGGATCCGAAATGCAGTTCGTGTCCCCTTACGGCTCCGAAGGAAATTTCATAGACGGCAGTCGGAGCGCAGAAATAAAGACGTCAAACCAGAGTGTGTCGACAGCGGCACAACTCGCTTGGGGACTGCTTCGGACAAACTTCATAAAAAGAGCTCAAGCAGCTCTTGAAGCAAACCAGGCGTGCACTATGGGCGCGTGAAATACACTACACCAGTCCCGTTCGACCGCCGGTTTGAATTTCGGTACTCGTCCGTCCCCCCCTCCCCCCATTTCCCTCCCCTCTCCCGCCTTCCCCGTTCCATCTTTTTATAATTTTTAGTTTAAAGCTTTCTCTTTCGTACGCTACTAACTTGGAACTGTCGTCTGCTTGCGACAGTTTTCACTTCCGTCTCAGTGATTTGTTCCTTTTGAAATTGGAGCCTCGATGACGAGGACCCTCAAAAATGAACGTCTGCTTCAAGACATGCTTCACTAAACCAAAAAAAGAAAAAGAAGTGCTTGCGATTTTAATATTATTATTTATCTTTTTAGAGAACGTCGCCACGATTCACGAAATGGATTCTTTCGTCACCCATTTCCAGAGATAGAACACAACGCTCGATAATTCGTATATAAAATTAATATCAACGTAAAATAAGAGAACATGCAGTAGGTATTGCTTCCGTAAGCAGGTGATCAATCTTCGCTCTCGCGTTATGAGCCCGTTGTGTCCAACGCAAACAAAAGATTTATGAATCGAGCACATTTTAAGCACATGGACAAATGACCGCTAATGTATATCAGTGTGTCGTCTGGTGCTTGGAAAAAACACAAACAGTCTAGTTCATTAGGTGCATCTCTCGAGCAAAAGAAAGTCGCAAAGAACGGCAACATTTGTACTATGCCATTTTCGGAAAAATACGTTTTGATGGGAAAAGTAAGACAGTGCAAAAAACAAAACAAACAAAAAAAAACAGAGGACAAGAAGACGAAGTGTACAAACGGAGCGCTGGGTTTTAATGGGTTTTGAGTGACCATGGCTCGTTTTTAGTTCCTTTGCATTACGTACGACAGAAAACAACCGGTCCTTGCTACGTACAAGCTGGGATTTTAGAAATAACAGCCTATTTGCCGTTGACAAGTAAACGTCAGGACCAAATCAGTCCATTTCTTTGCGTTGATACTTCACCCACCAATCCCCGAGGTATTAGTAATTTAGCGAGAGATAGACCACCTAAAATCAAAAGAAAATCGGGTGAAAATTAGGAGTGGTCTAACTTTCGGTGTGCAATCAAGAAAAGTTGAAAAAAAAAATTTAAAATCATGTGTCCCTGCAAAACTTGTTATCGCGGCGTGGGGCAACGAAGCAAAGATGCTACTTTTACGTCATCAACGCTCACTTATATATAGGGTGAGCATTTTCCGGTTTTAACCGAAAAACACCGATAAACATCCGTCGGTGACGAAAATATAAAATCGGTTAAAAAACACCGGTGGTCGGATATTTCCGCCCTGGTTAAAACCGAAAAACACCGGTCGTTGCTAGTTTCCGACCTAGCGAAACCCTTTCCCCGTAGAGGTTCGTCAAGCGTGTTATCTCGTGGATCCTGCATTCTTCCAGTGTTTATACATGGCTTGCAGGTGGCGTCAGTCCGCCCTCCTTTCTGGGGGTCAAAAACGTCTAGTTAACGCAGTGGAAGCTAAGCTCTCATACGCCTTTCCCCTATTGTGTCTCCCATGGCCCCCTTTTGTGGAAAAGTGAACGCAGTAGAGGGTAGGCTCTCACGTGCCTTTTCCTCATTGTGTCTGGCCAAGTCATGTCGGTGCAAGCCATGTATTCAGAGGTTGCTGTGGTTCCTGGAAGACACTGCCAAAGTCCGTGTCGTACAGGAGCGTGCGTTTTCATAATTGCGGGTTGCGAACCGCAAGGAACGTGCTGCCATGACGGCAGCACGTTCCTTGCGTGTAGATGCAAGAATCTACACGCAAGGCATGTATGCTTGCATATACTATAATGCTTGCATCTGCTATAATAACCAAGTGTGAGAAATAGTTGCTTCCTAGAGAAGAAGTGTATGAACTATGTGAATAAAATTGGAACCCTCTATCTGTGATCAATCGCTTCTTTTCACCGATAATCACCGATTTTAGCCTCGCCGTGAGACGTTCCACCGAAATACACCGGTGTTTTGAAAATAAACACCGAAAAACATCCGCCGATTTTTCTCACAAATAAACACCGGAAAGTAAACACCCTACTTATATACCACCATCGCTAACTAAACACATTTACGCCGAGGCCATCATTAATCCGAACAGTACGATTACTTGCAGTGGGCTACCTTTCGGTGTTTAAGAGAAAAATGGCAAATCAAGCCAAAAATAGGAGTGGGTTATTACTGTCGGTATATTACGGTAGTCATAATTATAACACCTTTTATTTTGTTTTCTGTTTGTATTTCGTTTCTTAACTTTTCAAATTATTCAGCTTTCTTTCGAATCGCCTTCTCACTTTCACGTAATAACGGAGTACCCTTAACGGTTTTCTTTCAAAAATTTGAGACTTCTTCCTGGATGTGGTTTGTACTTTGCTAGCAATAATTTGTAAATATTCCCGGAGATGCCTCCGCGAACAACTGTGACCTAAATTGCGGACTTTCTTTTGAGTCTACTATGTTTAGTATCGCTTTATACGACCAGTTATACGACCAGAGGGACATGGTATATGGGGCTAACCATAACGATCAGTTGGCTAAAAAAATTAAAATTTGTTAATAAACTTTTTAATTTGTAAAATTAGATATATGGTTAAAATCAGAAAGTTGCTGAGCGTTATCGAAAACTACTAAATCGGTAATTTTCAGAAAGACTTTCAGCACGTGAGAAGCGAAGTAGTGCACTAAAACTTCCACTCGTGGAGCAGGTTCGAAGCTATATCGGTTGTGGTAAGGCGCCCGCGCGATTTTTCCGTCTCTTATCCTGCCCCCGTCTTGTACCTGCGCCACGAGTGGTAACTTTAGCGCACTGCTGCGCTTCTCAGGCGCTGTCTTTAAAAAAATATTACTGATTTAGAGTTTTGGACGACGCTCAGCAAATTTCTAACTGGCACCATAATACTATTTGCACTAATTAAAAAGTTAATTAACCAATTTTATTAATTAGCCGACTGAT